TGTTGTTGTCCAGATTAGTTTTCAAGAAGCCTCCGTATCTTTCAAGAGTTTAGCTACTTGTTCATGGGATCCCAACAAACGCTTCAGAGTAGATAAAGATGGGATGATTTTTTTGTTCAGGCTTTGCTTCAGAATCCAAGGATCGTGTGAGATTATAGCGACGGCGTCGTTTGCGGAAAAGCCGAAGTCTTGGAAGATCTTGATTTTGGGCTTGATTGTGTTTTCGAGATTGGCGGAGTGCAAATGAGGATAGGTTTTCACTAATTTCTCCACCTGGGTTTTAGAAAAGCCGGTTTGTTTTAGGAATGAGATTACGAGATCGGGTTTTTTAGGGTTCCGAACAGAAGCTGCCGGAGATGAACGGTGTTTAAGCAGCGAATTTTCAGAAACCGTAACTGAAGTAGAGAAATGAAGAAGAAACTGCGAGAAAACGACATGGGAGTTGCAGAGAGATGATGGAGAATTCTTGAGAAAACGAAAATTGATGCGATTTTGTCGAATAATTGTTGCAATCATTATTAAAAGGAGTGTTGTCAAAACCCTAATTCGAAAATACTCGCTTCAATTGAAGATGAAAGCAACCCAAAACACAGAGTAAGACTCGCTCCTCAAACTTTTGGGGGGTTAGCCCGACCCGACCCGAATAAGACCACATCCAATAAAGTTAATTTCTTTTAGGGGTGACTGACTTACTGAACTTGGATCGAAGCCGATCCGGATCCATGTGGATTTGATCAAAAAAGAATCGGATCCAAAATCAACCATTATGAATGGATCCAAAGTGGATCGAACTTGCAGCGATGCGGGATCGAATCAACATGGATGCATTGCATCCTTAACTCAACTTAAATTGTTTAAAAGTGAAACGAAAACAAACCAAACATTGCCTAACAAATTGACAGCGATACCAGGGGCCGACCCAAGCGGCCCTCCACAAATAAATGTTTTCAGGACCCCTTATATTAATTGTTTTTAATTAAAAATTACATATATTTGGTATTGTCTTATTATTTTGAAGGACAAACATTAAGATTATCATCCAAACAATTAATAAACATCAAATAATAAACATAAAGGCAGCTACAATATCATTACATGAGAAATAAAATCTGAGCTGCAACATAGTTCAGCACAACTGCCTATCACACATAAGCAGATACAAGTGAATGTCTGAACTAAGTTCATATTTCTGCTGAGTCATCTTCAACAAGTTGCCACAAAACTAACCACCAGCTACACTAGTATCTTTAACATTCAAACCCTCGTTCGACTTCTCCGTTTCCAATTATTACACCCTTCGCCATATAAACATCTCCAACTTGATCCAAATACGGACCAACGAATTTCTCATAGAACTTCTTACCAGACATTCTGCATAGCACAGCCAAACAAGGCCATTTCTCAATCAAACCCTCACCTTCCAAAATTTCCAAGACTTTAAACCGCGGTTTATACCTTTTCTCGACGCTGTACATAAACGAAACGGGGTTTTTAACAATGCACGACATTTTGTACTTCCCGGTGGCAAAGAGAACATCTTTCACCTCCTTTATCTTCTTCTCCGACACACCGAAAACCAAAGGGACACTTCTAAACGTCGCTGCTATATCATCTTCGGAAAACCCCAACACGTGGAAAGTCCTCAGCTTGAGTTCCAGAGTTTCCTCCGACATCGAACTGAACAGCCGAACGGCGTGAATGAACATTCTAGAACTTTTCCTAACCCCCATTTTCTCAGCCTTGTAAACAAATTTCCTCACAGTCTCGGGCTTACGCAGCAGAATCATAGGAAAATAATGCATGGACCAAGTGATCTGCTCCAGCGGCAAGCCGTAATTTTTCAAGAACTCGACGTTTTGTATCAAATTGTTGTCGAGGTTAGTTTCCAAGAACCATCCACAGTTCTTCAAAAGCCTAGCCACTTCGAAATTCGATCCCAACAAACCCTTCAATGTAGATAAACACGGGATGATTCTATTTTTCAGGCTCTGCCTCAAAATCCGAGGATCGTTCGAGATTATAGCGACGGCGTCGTTTGCGGAAAAGCCCGAGTCTTGGAAAATCTTGATTTTGGGCTTGATTGTTTTTTCGAGATTGGCAGAGAGAAACTGAGGCCAGATTTTCACAATGTTATCCACTTGGGTTTTGGAGAATCCGTTTTCTTTGAGGAATGTGATTGCCGAATCGGATTTGTTTGGATTCCTCATGCGGGCGAGAACTGGGGCGGCTTGTGAAGCCGCTGCCGGAGAGAAATTGTGCTTGCGCGTCAACGTTTCAGGAACCGTAGGGTCGATAACAGTAGAGAAATGGAGAAGAAGATGCGAGAAAACAACGTCGGATTTGCGGAGGGGTGAAGAATTCTTGAAGCACAAATTGATGCCATTTTGGCGTACAATTGCTGCAATCATTGTTAACAGAACGAGTATCGAAATTCAAAACCCTAATCCGAAACACTCACTCACTTCGAAAATTAAAGAGACACAAAGCCAAATCGATGTCGTAAATTAAGTCAGGTGAATGTTTTTCGCTATTGACGTTTAGGGTTCTTCACCTAGGACGAAACTCTTGCCAAACAATCGGGTCAAAATCC